TTCTCTCTATCCTCTCTCTCTCCCTCTCTCTCTCCCCATCCTCAATGTGCTCTCTCTCTCTCAAAAAAATTAACTTAATGGGGCGCCTGGGTGGCGCAGTCGGTTAAGCGTCCGACTTCAGCCAGGTCACGATCTTGCGGTCCGTGAGTTCGAGCCCCGCGTCGGGCTCTGGGCTGATGGCTCAGAGCCTGGAGCCTGTTTCCGATTCTCTGTCTCCCTCTCTCTCTGACCCTCCCCTGTTCATGCTCTGTCTCTCCCTGTCCCAAAAATAAATAAACGTTGAAAAAAAAAAAATTAAAAAAAAAAAAAATTAACTTAAAAAAATTTAAAAAATTAAAAAAAACCCACCTCCATTTGTGAATCATGCTCTGGTCATCTTTGGGAACTCTTGCAGCTTTTATAAAAAGTTTGCTAAGTTGTGCTGAGACACTGGGAAGGTCAGATCATTTTAACTATTCCCCACACATGGGTATTTTTCTATACACACCCAACTGTGCTATGCAACAGCCAATGACAGTGCAGTACTGTGGCCTATACGAAGGAGAACCTTCCCTTAGAGAAATGTTCAAGATTGGGGGTCTTCTCTGTCCTCCAAGTCACAGGGACAAAGCTTCAGTATGAAATAAGGGTTTTCCCTCTGAAACTAGTAAGAACTCTACGGAAGCAAAGGTGATGGTGGGTGCAGGGTTAGTTGTGCAGGGAGCACAGAACCTGGGGATACATGAAGAGGAGTGAAGGGGAAGCTGACCAGGTGGGTTCTAGGGGTTTCTGGGGCTGAGGAAAGCACCTCAGGGGCCTGCTATCAATTCCTACTGATGGACTGGCTCTAGGTCCCAGAGTTAGTATATTAGGAATGAACACACACTGGAGTGCCTGGGTGGCTCAGTCGGTGGGGTGTCTGATCCCATGGTGGGTGGGTTCAAGCCCCGCATCAGGCTCTGTGCTGGAAGTGTGGAGCCTGCTTGGGATTTTCTCTCCCTCTCTCTCTCTCTCCGTGCCCCTCCTGCATGCTTTCTCTCTCTGTCTCTTTCTCTCTTTCTCCAAATAAACTTAAAAAAAAAAAAAGAACACACACTTCAGATCAGGGCTTAGAAGTGGAAAGTACAGTTTTTGAGCAATAATATCGCTAATGTCTCTAACTACTAAATCCCCTTTTAGTATTAGCACTTGAACCAACTTTTCTGAACTGTTACATTGATTAAGACTCTGTCTGCCCTGGGGAAGTCATTCTAGAACTCTGCAGTCAACATGTATCAGAGAGCATGGTAACGCAACAATGACTGAGTAATTACAGAAACATCCCTTCAAGAATCCTTAAAAAAGCATATGGGTTAAAAGTAAATACGCTAAAAAATTCAAGACAAGATTAGAATGTGGTTAATTTACTGTATTCAGAGAGACTACGGCAAGGGTGTATTTACTCAGCAGGATCAGGGATTCCTTTTTTGTGCTGACTGCATCTGTCTGTCATGGCTCTGGAAGGGCTCGTCAGTGGGGCTGAGGGTACGCTGTACTTGGGACAGCCTTACGCCGGGGCCTCACCTCTCCTTTTCCAATGGCTTCCCCATCTTTGTTCATTTTTCTGTTTAGCACGATACCCTGACACTAAGGACATACACGTGTGTGTGCGTGCGTGCACACGCGCTGGCGGGGGTGAGTTCCCTGAACTCTGACCTCCTTCTGGGCACGGCAGATGACCACTGCCACGCCTCACATCGTCTCAGGCCAAATACACCTCTCCCGCTGAAGCGGCTATCGAACAACGCTGACATCGATGCAAAATATCCGATACTAGCTCTTGGTTCTGGATGTGTAATTCCCGGGGTGGCTAATTCCTTGGCAGTAAAATGAACAGTAATGGTGTTCATTACTTAATGTTTTTTTAACAAGTCTGCTCTCGTGCTGGTGCTACGACTAGGGTTCCAGGCCACAATGTCACTGTGGTCACAGGGGGTGTGACTGATGGCGGCCAGGGGATAATGCTCTCTGCCTATTGGTAGCTGGAATCAAATCTCACTTCCTGTGTTACAGGTCTCACATGGACTTAAAGTCTGGGAAATGAATGTCTTATTGGCATTTTAAGACAAATAATTGCAAACATTCCCTTGGAGTTGTAATAACTCAAAACCAACTTGTCCTTTATAAGGAAAAGTAAAGATAAATCTGCTTGTTATAAACAAAGTCATCCTCTGCAGTTGAAAACACACTGGGAAAGCTGTCCAAAGTAATGGAGTTGAATCTACTTTTAAAGGACATTGAAAAGAAATTTAGATTTTTTGCTATCAAGCTGTGACCAATTTAGAAAAATAAATAGTAAATAGAACTACCATACAGAGGTGATATTCTTTAAAATGCATTTATTGCCCGTATTTTTCTCTTAACAGGAAAAACAGATGTTTCTTAGGAACTAAAATGTGGTTCCAACATCTGCCTGGAACTAGGTCTCACTGCCCCCACTCTTTCTCCGGGGACACAGCAATAGGGCCGTTCAGGGGCATAATGTTTGGAACCAACTCCAACCCAATGACCCCCAGTGGTTTCCAAAGTTACATAATCCTGGGGAATCCCTGCTACCCGAGAGGAGTCATTTAGCCTTCAAGCAAACTCTTGGGCCAAGATTTGAAGGCGTCCCTGATGGATGAACACTTGGGTTTCTTTCCATATTGCGTCCTTCTGTGGGATGTTCTTTCTATGGTCCCCAAGGCAAAATGGAGCAAGCATTAGAGTCACTTAGGTGTTTTTCATGCTCACAATCTCATGCTATTTCATTTCTCTGAGGAAGCTTCATTCCAACTACAGCTATCCATACTTACTTTATCTAAGGAGTGAACTCCGGCCTTGTTCTCTCTGCCTCTGTAAGTATGAGTGAGTCACAGAAACCTCTCCTCTCCAGCCTGAGCAAACTGGTGAGTTTTCACTTTCTACGGAAGACATGCTAAATTGCAACCATGATCGAGGAGAGTTTAATTTATAAGGTAGGGAGGGGAAGGGGTCAGTAAGGGATGCTTACTTAATAAAATACACTGCATATTTTTATTTTGGGGTTTCTGCTGATCACTGCACTCAAGCTCTGTTAATATGTAAAGCCAGTGAATTTGAGGTTCAAGACTGAACCTTCCGAAGGACTGTTTCTTAAACGGAGTACAAAAGTGGTACCCTAGTGTCAGACAGCTGAGTAGCCCTAAAACCTCTTTTGTGCTCTGATTTTTTTCTTTCAATGTTTTTACTTATTTTGCATATGCAAGCGGGGGAGGGGTAGATAGAGAGGGAGAGAGAAGATCTGAAGCAGGCTCTGTGCTGACGGAGAGCCCGATGTGGGGCTTGAACTCACAGATTGTGAGATCATGACTGGAGCCAAAATCAAGAGTCAGACACATAACCAACTGAGCCACCCAGGCGTTTTTATAATTATAGTATAGAAGACTGCTCAGCTTTGCTCCTTTGCTTGTGAAAAGACAGGATGAAATATTTCTGGCAGGATGGTTCTACTGTGATACCAACTGTCTTGTTTCCGGGCACTGGAGGAACCTGTAAGAGAGGAGAGGTGTTCTCCTTCTCTCTCCCAAGAGTTTGCCAAGTCTTTGTGCTGCCTTTCCTGAGGGTATCGTTGGTGACTTCTGTTTAATGACAAAAGCAGAATTTTCCAGGCACCAGAAGACACACTGGACCTCATATGGGACTGAGAAGGGTATAGGAGTGGGGAAGATGGGTTGAGAGGAAAAGAAAAAAGCCAGTAAGCAATGGGTTCTCAGCACTGGCCACGATTCCCTGCTCCATTGTGTACAGAAGCAGCCCAGACTCAGGCAACATGCGAGTCTGACCCAAACTGAATGGTGGTGACCAGTTAATACCCAAGCTCTAAGGTGCTTCCTTCAATACACTGACTTAGTGAGACTCCTAGGGGCACTCCCTGAAATGATGGGGATTTACCTTTCTTCCAGCCTGACTACATTTGATTTAAAGGGGGGGAAAAAAGGAGAACGACCTTTCTTGCACCTTGGTATTCTGACCTGAAATTTACCCTCACAACAACAAACACACCCCTATTCGTGTGTGTTTATCATTATACGTACAAACAGGCATACATTCACCAAACATTGTGGAGGGTTTGGGAAGGGTGCTGGAGGAGGTGCCATTGTGTTCCTTTAATTTAAGTCATTAAATTAAATTAAGTTTGAGTGATTTACAAGCGATAGTCTCCCTTCTGATGAATTTGGGGGTTACTTCCGAGAGAAGCCAGTCACAGGGCACTGGTTACATGCACTCACCCTGGACCACTCTCCTTTTCCATTTCCTGCTTTGTCAGGAAGTGATGTGCATTCCCTCGGGAGGAAATAAAGTCCTGATGCAGAAGGACTTGGCCCAGGGAAGTGCCTGAGCCGCCGGGGACCTTCGGACATGATCCTTTTAGGTGCACAGCCCATGCACTTTGGACCGTAAACATTTTGTTTGAGAAAGACCCCTGTGTCACTGGTGGGCTCACAGACTGGCTCACTGATGGGTGCGGCGGTTCCGAGTGTTAAGCTAGCGCAATCTCAGAATGGCAGGGCCCTGCTTCTCCCAAGCACGGTGATGACGCTTTCAGCCTGAGGATCAGCGATGAAACCAAACCTCACCTCTGCTTCGCAGTGCTGATTCTGATCAGAGATGGGCTCATTCCACCCGTGACAGGAAGTTTAATTTCTAGACTTACTTGGTACTTGACTCCATTAAAACAAAGCCTGAAAGCCAAAGTCAACTGGGAGACACAGCGCGTCTGTAAGCTGAGTAGATTCCTCTGCTCTCTGCGGCTGGATCAAAGCCCCTCCAATATGGCACTGGTTCCCTTCCTAAGGCCCATCTTATAAGACTGGCTGCTTCTATTTGTGGGGGGAAAGGTGGCATTTTCTTCTTCCTTTCGGCTCCTGCTAAGGGTGCTCTGGTACCGTAATTTACAAGGTCATGCAACTGAAAGCAAAGGCGTGGCCCTGCTGCACAAGGCACCCGCTAGCACCACGTACCGTGCACGGTTACGCAGAGGCTCTTCGGTCAGCGTGTTAGAGGAAAGGGTGACGCAGCTGCCGTACATCTCCTAGAGAGGTGCAATCAGACATCATCTGAAAACATGCAACGAGCTCAGCACATGCACGCGTCTCGATAAACAGGAAGCATGCAGGAGGCAGATTAGTGGACGCAAGCTTCATACATACTTCGAGGGGCACGGGGAGCTGGTGGGATCCTTCTCTTACTCCTGAGTGACACAACCCATTAAGTTACTCGGGAAAGTCTTATTTGAGCAAGGTAATTTTGGGCATACGAAGCCCAAAGGGGGTGGGCTTCGGGGCAGGGGTGTGACTTTTCTCGCGGAAATATACATGTGAGGAAGTCCTTTGCAACAAAGGCAACTGACGTTGGAAATCAACGTATAGTTAAAATCGGTGTTCAATTCATTAGATACTAACTGAAACTCGATTTTAGTATTGCAAAAGGAATCTGGACAGTTCTTCAACTGCACTGTAATGGAATTTTACCATATGGCAAATTATCAGTTATGCAGGCTGGGACTCTCTAGATCGCAGGATGGATATTCTAGGTCCTTCTACCCCTCAGCATTTCCCATTTTGGCTACTGTATCATTTTTTGGATGGCATGGCATGTGCAGAGCATACAGGACACATTGCCTACAGCCTACAAAGACATTCATATCTCCCATTCACCAGTTTTAAACCACAGATTATAGTCCCCGGTTTTCTAGTAAATGCAATTATAAGATATAGTTCCCGCCACACTCTGCCATCCCTTATGTACTGCCAAGTGCTTCAGACTGCTATGGCAGCCTGATCAACACTCAGGGGTGAGTATCATAAAACGCCAACGTGGAGGTCCCTGTGGTGTATTCATTTCAAAGGTCATTCCAAAGTGGAGTAGTTAAGTCTTTGGAAATAGAGTTTCTATTTATGCGCTCTTTAATCGGGCTTGAGGATAAACTATCCGGTCAGATGAGGAGAACAAACTCTTCCTGAGGCAGAATCTGTGCCAAGGAAGGGCCTGATTTCTCATCGATTGGTGGTCTCATCTTGCAGAAATGCCTTCCAGTTTAGGACTCCTAACACTCAAGGATGAAACTATTTTGGGAAACTGGGGGACCAGAATATAACCTCCTGTGATTTCTTTCATCTTTCTCTTTTAGCATATTTTCCAAGGAAGAGCAAAGCGTATATACTTTAATATGACATATCTCCTTAAAGAACACATGGACTTAGCTGTCCATGCGTCCCTTTGGAATTTTCTGGGGATTCCCTCAAGGTGGCAAAGGTCAGCAATCTGTAGTGTTAGGAACAGCACAGTGAATTCACAGGCAAGAAATGGGATATTCTCCAAAAGGCACTCACCGCCTTATTCTTTCCTTTGCTAGCAGAGCTCACGGGACTTCTCTTGGCATCTGTTGTCTTCCTTCCAAGCGAGGTTAACGGCAGTGTGGAGGTCTTCAGCTGGTTGGCTGCCTGGTAATTGTTATTATTGTTCTGGTTGCCACTGAGCGTCTCCATGATAGACCGGAAGGTTCCAAAAGGCCTTTTCAGTTGATCCCCCGATTCGCTACCCGTAGAGGTCCTCTGGGGGGTCCTGCCCTTATCTCTGTCCTTCTCCCCAGTGGGCTCGAGGCTAGCTTGCTCCATCTGGACCACGGGCTCCTCAAAGGTAACTCGGAGTTTTAAGTTCTGAGATGTCCGGCGCTTGGAAGACGGAGACTTGAGGGCACTCTTGGGGCTCATGGCCACTTTCTGGGTGGCGGTGCTGTCAGGGCTGGGCTGAGTAGGGTCTCCGGAGGGCTGGCTTGGGGGAGTGGTCCCTGAGGTGGCACACTGGGATTCCAAGTCGGGTTCGCTGCTCTCGGAGGTGGGAGATGGGCTATGGCCGTCTAGCGATTTGGAGGCTTTGATACCAAAAGGAAACCTGCGTCCTGATGCCAACGTGTGTTTCTTGATCATCAGGTGCAGGCTTTCTGCGCTGTCCACACTCTCCACACTTCCCACGATGGGCTGCGGTCTGGGCCTGTCGGCCTTCCTCACGGGTGTGCTCTTGGGGTCCTCAGAGGTGTTGGAATCGGTGTCGGACTCACTCAGGGACCGCTGCATCAGCTGCCTCAGCCGAGCCAACTTCAGCTCCCTCTTGTCTGCAGGGATCTTCTTTGAGTTTCTAGAAGAAGCCTGAGCATCCTGGAATTCCAAGGACAGCTTTTCCTGGGTGCAGACACTCTCTGAGATATCCTTCCCCAGTAACTGGCGGAGGATTTTGTCAGAATCTTCATCTTTTGCTTTGGCCCTGGCCCGGCTGGATGCCGACAGGCTTCCGAGCACCTGAATCCCCTCTTGGACCCCGGGTTTGCTCTTGGCTACAGACTCATCATCCGCATCTGGAGATTTCCACTGGGACCTTCTGGAAGCGGGGGAGGATGGCGAACTGAAAGATGATGAAGAACATATGAGGTGATCTCCTATCACTGATTGCCTCCACTGCCACTAACGACTTACAGATCGAAAGGACTGGAATAAGAAAAACCACTTAATGTCTGTGCTCATCAATCTCCAAATAACTCCAGAGAGGTAACCATGACCACAGTGTAGTGGGCCTCCTACCTAACGCTATGACAAGAGATCTGTCTACTGTTTACTGTTTACACATCAATGTTGTGCCAATTGCATTCATTATTCTCATCTTCACCAACCTTATACACCTACGTATCCTTATTCCCATTTCACAGGTGAAGAAATGAAGGAATCTGACTGTGACTTTTCTGTAGTCAGAGAATGAAGAAATGGCAGAACCAGAGATGAAGCCGGGTCTTCTGACATCAGGTCCAGGGCGTTTTCCCCCTGTAACGTCTCATATTTATTCCTCTTTATAAACATAAAATATGTTCTGTTTTTGTCTTCTTAAAGTCCAAAAGAAGGCTCAGAGACTAAAGACACCTAAGAACTCTAACCATTAATGTTCCTGGTATTACCTGGGCAAGGAAAGGAGGGACTTGCCCTCTGATTTCTGGGCTTCTAGAAGTTGTTGGAGCTGGTTCTGCAGTGTGACACGTTCCATTGTCTGTCTGGGAAAAGTGAAGCGAGACACATAAGCTCTCTGATACATGGCCACTACTATAAGTGGTAGGTATAAATTTTGTCATGATAATTTGCAATAAATTGCACTAAATCCCAAAGCCTTACAAATACGCATGTCCTTCGTCCTTACCGTGCAGAAATCTTCGAAGGACACAGTCAATTACCCAAAAGGATGCTTATTATTCACATTAGCAAGAAACTCTAAGTAGCCTAAATGCTCATCAATAAGACTCAGTGAATAATTTAGTTGCTTCCATAGAGGCAGCTATTAAAAATGATGATCTATTCCAGTAGCCATGACATAGAAAAAGTTTCCCTTGTATATGTATAAAGTAGATACATATAGATATAGAAATACATATACATATATATACATACATATATTAAGTAAAAAAGGAAGTTATAAAAATAGTGGGTGTAGTATAATTTTTTTTATATTTTAAGAAACATAAAAGAATATAAATATAAATATAAATTTCTTTATATGAGAGAAATATAAAAGAAACATTTTTAAGAAATCCCTCTCTGTATATAAAATATATATTACTTATAACATATATGCTTATATCATACTCATATGGATTATTTTCTCTTTCCACATTGTTTAAATCTTTACTTATAACATATATGCTTATATCATACTTATATGTATTATTTACTCTTTCCACACTGTTTAAATCTTTAAAGTAATTGTATTAATGCAGTGATCAGAAAAGAGCAGAATAAGAGCAACAAAAGCAGACTATTTCCACAGGGGGTAAAAACAATGAAATAACTTAGCATTTTCTTACATAAAGGGAAACCTGGTATGGCAACGCTCAATTTATTCTGGACATAAAAGCGGAATGTACTTTAAATGGTATCAGAACGTGCTTTAAATTTAAGAAAAATCAGTTAAATGCCGCAGGTGACGGAAATTAACATCTGTTTAGAAAACATAATTAGAGAACTTGAAAAAAGTAAATCCAACTGATTCTGACTTTAGAAGAATAAGCAGTATTTACTGAACTCTTTATTCATTTTATGACCACCCGCCACCCCCCAAGGATGGCCATCAGATTCTAATCCCTGGAAGGTGAGAATATACGTTATCTTATGCGGCAAAAGAGATTTGGTGTTGCAGATAGAATTAAGGTTGTTATTGGCTGACAGGAAACCAGGGAGGCTATCTTAGGTTATTATTATTGGTTATGCCATCCAACCACATGTCTTTAACAGTGAGGAGGAGGAAGATGAGGTCAGACGCACTCACTGTGAGGACTCCATCTGTGAGTGCTGGCTCTGAAGAGGAAGGAAGGGGCCAGGAGCCAAGGAATGCAGCGGCCTCTAGGTGCTGGCGGTGACCCTCAGCTGACAGCCAGCAAAAGAAGGGAACCTTGGTCCTACGACCACAAGGAACTGATTCTGCAACCGGACTCTCATTCTAGAGCCTCCAGAAAGCAACATAGCCTGCAGACAACTCAATTTTAATCTGGAGACCCATTCCGAGTTTCAGACCTACAGAGTTGCAAGATGAATTTGTGTTGTTTTAAGCCACTAGGTGTGTGCTGATTTCTTATAGGAGTAGAAAATGAATACAGGTAGCATCAAAAATGGTACTCTCTCTCATGGGCCAGGGTGTGGAACCAGATGAATGAATTACAAGTGTTCTTATGACGACCGCCAGACTTTAGATACAGGCTTGAGGAAGCCTAGCGTTCTCCTTGCTGAGTGTCACCGCACACACTCAACAACCACTGGCCACCTAAACCTAGTTCTGTGAGATCAGACCACGAGGATACCCTGCCATCTCCCCAAGTACTCTGTTTTTCAGACATGGTCAGTTTTAGTCCTAACATTTCATCCCTAAGAAAAGAAAAGTCTGTGATCTCAGTTTATCTCACTCGTTCTGTGACTCACCTACTGAAAATTTAATTGTCTAAAGAAGGAGACAGCAGGGGCGCCTGGGTGGCTCAGTTGGTTAAGCATCCGACTTCAGCTCGGGTCATGATCTCAGGGTTTGTGAGATCATTTTAACTTGATTCCTTCTATAAAGACCCCATCTCCAAACAGGCATACATTCTGAGGTACTAGAGGTTAGGACTTCAATTTATCTTTTATTTTTAGGACAGGACATAATTCAACCAGGGAGACCTTGGCTTGTACATGAGGACTTCTAACAGAGCTGAAGGTTGCCATTTAAATTTTTTTAAAAATTTTTTATTTACTTGTTTTGAGAGAGAGAGAGAGGGAGAGAGAGAGATAAAAAGACAGCAGGGGAGGGGAAGAGAGAGAGGGAGACAGAATCCCAAGCAGGTTCCACGCCGTCAGCACAGGGCCCGCTGTGGGCCTTGAACTCATGGACCATGAGATCATGACCTGAGCCAAAATCAAGAGTCGGACACTTAACTGACTGAGCCACCCAGGCACCCCTGGAGGTTGCCATTTTTAAATAGTAATTATCTTTATAATGATAAAGAGTTAGTAAAGTTATTCTAGTAGGAAAAGGCATTCAGCACTCTCACTCAAAATTTTGGACTAGAAAAACTCTTATTTTTCAACCCTCCTTTTTCACCTTTCTGTGTTGTTGGTGCCCTGGAGCTTGAAGGGTATAGGGTGCTGTGGCTAGACTAAGTGGACTTCCCTTTTCACTTCTAGTTTCACCTATCTCACTGAGGAACATGGTAAGTAAAAGACCAGGGTCTACAACATAACTTCTCATATTTTATCTTGTCACTGGCCTAACGATAACTGGCTACAGCATTCAGCTTTGGAAACAGCAGAAGAGCTGTTATCTATTAGCATACATGTGTATTTTATCCTAGGCCCATCAACAGGGAAGGCAGCCAAGACCCTGACCTTGAACTGCTCACCAATAAAACAGCTATTATAGCTCATGAAGAGCTCACAACTCCACGGTATAGAGACTGAGGACCATGTTTTTTGGTCTTTTCGAGTATGAATCTTTAGAAAAAAAAAATTCTACTGGATTATTTGAAAGCTCCTCTGAATGGCGCCCCCCCCCATACACTACTGGGGGGCAGGGATATTGCTACAATATTTCCGGAAGGATCTATCCACATTTTAAATACTTATGCCCTGTGTTCTAGCAATTGCCTTTCTAGGAGCTTAGCTTTAGAAATACCTACACATGTACCTAAAGACATGTGTACAAGGATGTTCGCTATGGAAACGTAACTTACTGAGTTGTCAGTTTGTGGGCATTTTCCCCTCAGTTACAAGAAGTTCTTAAAGCTCACTTTGCTCCCTCCCCCTGGGGAGATTTGTGTAACTGGGCAGAGGATACTTGGAGGGAACCCCTTTAATGTTTAATTTTGCTTTATTCTTCCCATTACAATTTTTATTTTATTTCTTTTTAAAATTTATTTATTTAGGGGCACCTGGGTGGCTCAGTTGGCTAAGCGTCTGGCTCTTGATTTCAGCTCAGGTCATCTCACAGTCTGTAACAAAATCCCGAGTCAGGCTCTGCACTGATGGCAGGGAGCCTGCCTGGGATTCCCTCTCTCCCTCTCTCTCTGCCCCTCCCCTGCTCATGCTCTTTTTTTTCCTCTCTCAAAATACATAAAAGAAACATTTTTTTTAATCTTTAAAATTTACTTATTTCAATTCAACTTCGTTAATATACTGTGTAACAATGCCTTCAGGAATAGAACCCAGGGATTCATCACTTACATATAATACAATACCCAGTGCTCATCCCAACAAACATCCTCAATTTTTTAAGTCCTGTTTCCAGTGAAAACCTAACTGGGTTTTCACTAAAGAGGGCATTCTAGTAGGGAGGGCAGGAGGGTACAGAGAGACCTGGCCTCTGAGACAAGAGCGGGGGAAGTAGGGAGACCAAGGTTTTGCCAAGCTTAGAGAAGAGCTGGAGGGTCCAGGGACGTGCCAGACTGTGGCCTGGTTACACCTGTAATCAGGTAAGGCCTGCCATCCACCATACATCTCTTTTCAACTGGGAAAAAGAAGGTTTTTAAAAATAATTTAAAACACTTCGTATTTTGCTTCTAACATTTAATTTTTAGGGTTCATCCTCCTAATCTGTCAACATGACTCTGAATGTTGATTCCGATTTTTAGTGATTCCCTCCCCAATACAGTAACTGTCATTCGGCTGGTGTTTCCCAGTCTGACTTTAATCCTCTAAAGTGCTGTCGGCACCTTGATCTTCATCCTGCTAGAGACCTACCTGACAGCTTCTCCACTGTCCCCCTCTCTTCACGCTTATCCTGACAACCTCCCACAAATGGTTCCCGACGTCTAGGTAAGCAGTGGGTAGCCGTTCAATAATCTTGGCGAGAACAGAACTCACTCCGTCTAGACCAAGAAGCTTTTAAGTAACATCACGCTGACCGAACACTCTTCTGCGTTCTGAAGAGTCACGAATCGTCTGCTTAATTTTTCTAATAAATTTACTGGTGATGGTTGCCAGATCATCTGTCTGTAATTCCTCAAATACACATTTCTCTTTTGCAAAGCTGGGAAATGGGTCTATCTCTAGTTTTTTGCTTTTTTTGTTTTTTGTTTTTCTCTCTCAGGCACTTAATGATTTCCTAGCACGTAAAGGACAGGAGTCTGGGGACGCTGCCTGTGTGTTCTTTCTATGACCGCTAAGAAGTTGGCCCCGGAGATACGCACACAGAGAGAGCCCGTCTGTCATCCCACACACCTTACGTTCCCTGCTTAGGAAGTTTGCTCTGCACTGTTTGTTTAAACGTCAATTTGCCTCTGGTACCTGCGGCACGGGTGCTGGCCGGGAAGACCTGGGACAGAAGAAGAAAAGCCGAGAGAGGAAGGCTAGGAATTCCCTGTTCAACCAGCATGAGACTGCTACAACCAAAGCACCTGGCTCAAACCTAAGCGAAGGGATGACAAGCCAGTCTCGGTGGTCACGGCAAGAATGGGTCACTTACTCCTTCAGCTGCTTGGTCAGCTTCACCACCTGAGAGGCCAGCGACATGCAGGTCTCCACCACCACCAGGTACCGGGAGCACAGGGTGTGCCCGTGGCGCTCGGCACTCTGGGAGGGCTTCTCCCCGGCGTGGTTGTGCATGGTGACATTTGCTCCGTATTCAACCAATGTCTGTCAGAAAATGCAAAGGCACGTGTCATTCCAAGACCTCCCCTGCAGCATTTTTGTTTTTTCATAGGACTGTAACAGAAAGGCGAATGGAACTTTTCCTGTTAGTCCCAAACCAGTTACGGGAGCCCAGAGCGGGCTGGGGTAGCGGGCGAGGGGGGACCATGACACGCAAAAGAGAGGTTCTGGCGAGGTTGCAGGAGCTGCTATCACTTTCCCCAGAGCCTACAAAAGTGCAGCAGAGCCAATGTCATTGAGAGCTCTCAATGACATTGAGAGCCAATGTCACTGCTTCGGATCCCACCGAGCCTCCAAGGAGCTGTAAGGGGCGGGCCTGATGCTGTCCCCAGGAGGCTGCCTCCTGAGCAGGGAGAGGTGGTGGTGAGCTGCTCTGTCTCTTTCAGTGTGTGGGCCCATAAAGTTGGGGATGCGAGGGGTGCCTGGGTGGCTCGGTTATGATCTCATGGTCCGGTCTGTGAGTTCGAGCCCCGCATCGGGCTCTGTGCTGACAGCTCAGGGCCTGGAGCCTGCTTTGGATTCTGTGTCTCCCTCTCTCTCTGTCCCTGCCCTGCTCATGCTCTGTCTCTCTCGCTCTCAAAAATAAATATAATTCTTTTTTTTAAGGAGTTGGGGATGCGTGTAAAGAGGACAGAGTGGAATTTTGTTTACCTGTTCCTATTTGCTTGGGAAGCACGCGTGATCTGTGGCTGAGCCTACTGCAGCGGATAGAAAAAGAACTCGAGAAAAATGATCTGGAGGGGCTGTGAAGCAACCCACACTCCCACCACGTGTTGGGCAAGAACATGACCCATCAATTGAGCAGACGTTACAGAAGGGGGCTTGCGGTGAGCTGGCTATCATGCCGCTTAGAGAAGGAGAGGGTTCTCCAGCAGCAAGAGCAGGGAGGTGTTACACGGGCAGAGGGAAGCGTATGGGGGACAAGGATGTGATGCTAGGGCCAGATGTCTCCCGTCAGGTATCAGTGGGGAGGCTCCAGAGAGGCCTCACCCACCAAGCCCAGCAGAGGGTCGGCATCTGAAGGCTGCCACAGAGGACATTAGTGGCCAACCACAGTGAGCCAAAGAAGCAACGACAGCTTTCAGGGAGAGTGCCATGACCTCTGACGTTAAGCAAAGAGTCAGTTGACTTTTCTCTCCTATCTCTTCCTTGTCTCCAACACTGAGCCCAGAAGAGAGAGGAGAATAGGAATGGGGGAAGGGATAGGAGACGGGTGTACAAAGCCAATCATGCCTCTGTCTCCTGGCCAAGTCCCTTGAACCCTGAGTCTAATCTGGGTTGGAGAGCAGAATACTTTGAATCAGAAGACTGAGATTTTAAAAGGCGAAAGATTTATGCGATCTGAAGAGAAACCAGAGTATAGAAGATTGAGATTTTAAACTGGTTTGGAGCAATGTTACGTCGCAAGCAAGCAGAAAGTTATGGAACCCGGCCAAGGTCATCATTAGTAAAGAAGAGAGACTTGATGGACCATGGTTGACACCAGTAATTAAAAAAAAAAAAAAAAAAAATCAGGGTGCCTGGGTGGCTCCGTCGGGTGAGTGTCTGACTCCTGAATTCGGCTCAGGTCATGATGTCACGGGTTCATGAGACCCAGCGTCGCATCGGGCTCTGTGCTGACAACGCAGACCCTGCTTGGGATTCTCTCCCCCCGCCGTCTGTCCCCCACTCCTTCTCGCAAATAAATAAACTTTTTTAAAAAATTTTTTTAACGTTTGTTTATTTTTGAGAGAGAGAGAGACAGAGCACAAAGAGGAGGGGGAGACACAGAATCCGAAGCAGGCTCCAGGCTCTGAGCTGTTAGCACAGAGCCCGATGCGGGGTTTGAACTCACAAATCGTGGGATCATGACCTGAGCCAGTCGGTCACTCAACAGACTGAGCCACCCGGGCACCCCGCAAATAAATAAACCTTAAAAAAAATCAAAACTTTTTTTCTATTTATACTGTGGTGACATTGGAAAAGCTGTCCCATCAGTATTAGTCAACTGCCACAATCTGACATAGTCTTTGACACTATCAAGAAGAAATGTATCTCTGGATTTATGAGTCAAAGGTACTATTGCTTCCAAAAGAAACACCTGTGATTTTTAAAAAAAAATTTTAACATTCATTTATTTTTGAGAGAGAGACAGAGAGAGAGAGAGAGAGAGAGAGAGGGAGCGCATGATTGGGGGAGGGGCAGAGAGAGAAGGAGACACAGAATCCGAAGCAGGCTCCAGGCTCCGAGCTGTCAGCACAGAGCCCCATGCGGGGCTCGAACCCACGAACCATGAGATCATGACCTTTGCCGAAATTGGACACTTGACCAACTGAGCCACCCAGGCGCCCCGAAACACCTGTGGTTTTCAAATTCCTAGATGGCTTACACTGAGGGGTCATGAGGAACTTTGGAGCCTCCTGGTTTAACGGTTCGGAGCCTCCTGGTCACTCACCACGAAAGGCCGATGTGCCCCGAAGCCACTGCCGCCAGCCTGACAGAAGTGGCAGGCAGATCACCTCGGCCCTGAGCTCCTGCAGCCCTCCCAGGGCATCCCTGTAAACACCTGCTGTTACCACTCCCTTGACCCCCGGCCTCTGGCCTCTGCAGTTTTCCATACTCAGTCTCCACCTCACCTCAAAAGGGCCCTTGCGATCGCCCCCGACCCCGGCCTACCCTCAGTCTCTCTGTATCTTTTTTCCCCCCCTTTTAAATCTCACACCCAGTGGACAGACCCGCTTCCAAGATTATCCAAGTTTCCACAGCCACAGTATCTAGTGCCAAAAACATCATTTGTGTTAAGTGGAGAGATGAATGGCCTAAAAGCACAGACAGCCTCTGTTCACATATAAAAGAAAAATAACCAAGATCCCAAACAGAATTAGTGATATCAGCTGGTTTTCTTTGGCTGTCGGTCACTTATTAGCTGATGAAAGAAGTTCAAGATGATTAAATATTTGAGGGTTTTGCTAAATGGAAAAATTGGAAGGTTTTGGTTTTTATTCAATTATTGTTTTCCTCCACAAAATAGTCCTGCTACAGTCCTTTCATCTTCCAGAAATCCTGGGAGTAATTTAAATTTTTCTCTTTGCTCTCATTTCTTATCACTGCTTTTGCAGTGTGGCACCTTAAATGAGAAGATGCACACTTTGCCAACATTAGTGGGGAAACCTCCAGACACTTGGAATACTTCCTTTCAACATTGGTCTCCAAAGAGCGGACGCTCCAAAGAGCGTTGTGCTGTTACCTCTGCCTTTTGCTTTTATGAACCTCTTGCCTTTCACACTGACAGCTTTTCCAGATCTTCTCCTGTCATTTCCAGAGTAGAGTCCCTTCTACCTTCATAAGTGACTGGTTCTCAATGCCCGGATTTTCTCTCTCTCTCTCTCTCTCTCTCTCTAATTTATGTATGTATATAGGTATGTATTTACTTACTCATTTAGAGAGAGAAAGGGGTAGGGGCAGAGAGAGACAGGGGCAGAAGATCTGCAGCGGGCCCCATGCTGACAGCAGAGAGCCCGATGTGGGACTCTAACTCATGAACTCTGAGATCGTGACCTGAGCCCAAGTCGGACACTTAACAGACTGAGCCACCCAGGCACCCCATCAGATTTTGTCTTTTGGCGACAACCTACCCTGCACACAGTAGGACATCAGTAAGTTCCTGTTAAATCAGCACACTGAGTTGCAATAAAAGAAACAACGTGTAATAAGGTAAAAAAAAAAAAAAAAAAAAAAAAAAAAGACCGGGGCTTCCTTCGAGCTGTTCTACGCGCCGAGCTTATTCTGAATGTTGTGAACTCATTGAGGTTAAAGGTACTTTCTTTAATCACAGCCTTCAGTCATATGCTGTCAGTCAGGAGGGAGCTTTCTTACATTTCAAGAAGATGTGGTAACACATCCAAAGATACTGGGTCATTGTCCACGATACGAATGGGGTGAATGGTCTGACTCTGGTAATTACGCCTTCATACATCAAATTCCCGGCCAAATTCAAACTTTGTTTCCAATGCAAAGCCTCTCCTTCCCTCACAGGGTCACCCCTCTTTCTTGTTGGTTACTGTCTCTCTTTGCTTTATCACTCAGGGCCTTAGCATTTTTTAAGAAAAGGGGTTTATCTGGTTTTACATGCACATATGCCCCGAACTTCTGAGGACCCTCACTGGGCTTTCAGTCATGTGTTATTACAATGGCGGCACTGGGTCTGGCTCAGGTTCCTGCAACAGAGCGTTCGGCTGAGGGGAAGATTCCGACTCCTCTTCTTGTGGGAACTCTAGGTGTTCTAAGCAGCCCTCCTGGATCCTCTCTCAGGTGGCTGGGGGGCAGGGAGAAGAGCCTCCTCACCTCTCCAGTGGCTCTGCTCCCCAGCCTTCGTACACCTTTGCACACATAGACCATGGTAATACTTGTGAGGCATGTAGGGCTACATGGATGAGGCCTCCTGAGGCTGTTGGGTAGAGTGGCTGGCCAACCAAGACCCTGCCTGGCCTGCCTGAGGGCTAAGGGGAGCAATGGCCCTCCGGTGGCCTCCCTGTAATCAATTCTGGGCCTTTCTGACGGCATTTGAGAAGCTCAGTCCTGCCCCAGAGCAAGCGGGCAAACCACAGCCCTCTGTCTCTAGTCCCTTTTGACAGCCTTCAACACTCAAGGAGAAACTTCTAGGACTCTTTAAGCCAACATTTGTGTGGATTTCTGGAAATACAACTATATCTACTTCATTCCTTATTATTGACTATAATGGAAAAAGCTGACTTCACGCACATATTTCTTCCAGTAAACAAAACGTCAGTTTTTTTTGTTTCATTGCTTGATAAACTCATTTCTCTCTTCAAAGCAGCAGAGCCTGCGTACCTGTATGCACCCGAGGTAGCCATGCTGTGAGGCTACGTGGACGGCACTGTTGCCATCTTGGTCCACTTCATCCAGCGAGATGCCCTGTTCTTGCATAAACTGAAGAAGCCAAAGAAGAATTTTTTCCTATAAACACACAGACAGTTGCAATTAATGGAATATCATGTCATAAGTCTAAAGTAAAACACAGAGGCAAGCAAAACTTCTAACTTGGGAAGCTTACATACCACCAGGTTGACCCTATCAGCAGAAAATACCCATTCATTGTGAACTGAAAATCCATGCTTCTCTCTGACTCAAGTCAACGTAAGAGGAATGCTCAGAGACTCTTAAGAGCAGGAACTTATGTCCGAAACGTTCTTGTCGCACTGACATCCACTAGAGATGGAAAACTGATTTGTAGAAATTTGAGTACCTCCTCAAAGTCACACACCTAGACAGATCCAAAGTGAGGGCCAAAATCGAAGTCTTTTGACGCCAAGGCAACGTTCGTGTTATTTTGTTACACCGTCTTTAGGGTTCAAGAATATTATAAAACCTCAGACACTGAGATAAGCAACTTATCCTTTGAAGTTGATAATGCTTCAACCATGCCTTCCTAATCCCAGACCTCTTGCAATCAACAGGCTGTCAGAGAGAGGCAACAGCTTAAGTTGCTTAAGCAGAAGAACCTCACCAAAATAAAACCAGGACCTTTTGGATTTTTCTGACCAAATGTTGGTGGGGTTTTAAAGGTAAAGGTTTCCCTTATTCTGTGTTATTCACCCAATGTCTGAGCACAGCCTTTCAAGAGCAAAGACACAGAGTGCTCAGTGTGTTGCCAAAATCCGTTTGCATTTTACCCACTGGGTCTTTTGTGGTATTTTCATGTTATCTTTGGCCTCAGGAGAAAGCAGGGGGATGGGATTTCACTGTTTTAAAATAGAAGAATTAAATACAATGTTAAAAAAAAAATAAGAGAGTGGTAAAAACAACAGCGTGAAGTTTAGTGAGTGGAATTTGACATTTAAAAGGATGATCATGTGTTTGAAATAGCCTTGAACCTCTCCTTAGCCTTCTAAAGGATTTTTTTTTTTTTTCCAGTTACTTGCTCTGACTGGTCATGAACTTTTATACTTTTCTGGATTAAATTTGCCTTCACCTTCTGAACATGCCAACTAATCTGCTAAAGGAATGTTGGATAAAAACAGCCAACCCCTTCAGGGCTTCGCCCTTTACGGGGGAAGCAGGGCACTGTTTATGAAGGCATTGGTGACATCAGGGACAGAATGAATATTCCCACCACACTCTTCCCATGTGAGCAAGCAGAGAGTAAGACCCCTAAAGAGCAAGAAGAGAAAAATGTAATGAATGCCTATAAACTACCAAGAGGGCACCCAGGGAAAGCAGGGTGTCAGCGGCAAAAGCAGACAGACCTTGTAGAACATCAAACCCTGAACATCCTTGGAGAATGAGGTGGAGAAGGAAGGCCCTGGAGGCCAGGCTGGGAGCTACAATCTGGATGAGGGTAGACTAAAGTGCTTGTCCTCGTCTTCCGAGGCAAACGTGGATGGGGGTTTGGGGCTGATATTTGGATCAGAGCAGGTGATGCTTCAAAGGCACAAGGTAGAACAATTTTATTTTTCCTAATGAGGAAGGGGTATTACTTTTATTTGGAGCCAGATGATTCTGCCGTGTGATCTTGGAAGACCTGGGTGAGTGGACATATCTCAGGTTAACAAACATAACCAACTGGTTTGAAGTCGATGGATAAGACATGGAAACATCAAGAGGGCGGGCTGTCGTGATTCGACTGGTGAAAAAGATGGCCCTGTCATCTAGGTGGGTCATTCTCAGGTATGCAGTGACCTGGTTTGCTCTATGATATTCAATCATGGGATGTTAAAATGGCAGAGTGGGAGAGATTTTAGGAGTCATCCCACTCGAACACCCTTGTTTTACCAATCAGAAAGCCAAAGAAGACAAGTATATACTCTCTGATACTCTAGCAGCTCCCTTCTTTAGCAAGTAAAGTTCAGGGGAACGCAAGATAGTCAGAAATATCCTATGCGCACCTTCTCGTCAGGCACATTTTCATATTTTTCAGACTCAATTAATAGCATAGTGGAGAAGTCTATTCTTCTATTAATGATAGGGTTGTAGAAAATGGGATATAGCATTTCATACGACTAGACATTTTCCCCTGTAAAAGTAGGGAGAAGAATCTGGACACCTCGACTTTGCAGGGGCTTGAAAATCTGGGCAGACAGGCCACGGTCTGTATAAGGCAAGAGCTGCCTTGGCTCCTGATGGTCTTTCAAGTCAGGTTCAATCCACGTTGTTCGATAACCTGCCTTCTTTTCTTCTGATGCCATGGATAACTCTCCCTTATAATTACATTCCAATTCAAGACACAAGACTTATATAAAGGAAGAACCATTATTCTACTGTTCAGAACAAGGCAGGTCTTTGCCCAGCACCTCAAATTTCAGTTTTGTGTTTGGTAGTGGGCAATTTACTTTAATAAGAAGCTACAGAATCAGCCTGTTGTTTGATAAACTTCATGAAAACAAAAGGTCTTGAATTCCCGGGTTTGGGTAAAAGCATGGTCAGCATCCAGTCTCAGAGAAAATGCCGTTTTCTGCTCTGATTCGGGAGAACATGCCAGCAGAAATCGATGGGACTATAACGTAAAGAGTGACTTACTCGACCAATATCTAGTAAGGAGAAAAAATACAGCTATTTTCTCCAACTGAGAAGGGCCTTATGAGATACATGTGTATTAAATATACATATGCAGTGATGGCTACCTCTCTTCTTAGACATTTAGCGCTCTCTTTCTGTGCACGCCTGCGTGTGTGTTGTGTGTGTCAGGGAAATGTTTAAAAAATGTCATTTCTGATTTTCATTTTGCCGTAATTCACTGCTTTCAGAGAACATCCAGTGAAGTTGTAAGGATCGAGAGGCCCTTCTGGATTATTTCCATTTTACAGAATGCCTCTCCAACTTAACATTCTACCCAGCCGCCCACACACTCATCTAGACGTTCGGTTTTTATCTATTGACTGAAAACTTCCTTCATGTCCTGGTTTTCTCTTCTGGGGATTTTCTGCTCTTTTGGTAATCTGTTTTATTGGGGCGTTTTGTGTGTTGTTAAAGGCAATGCAAGTCGTTTCATGGGGCAATTAATACATGTAATTTATGAGATTTGCTGGACAAAGTCTAATAAAAAAATGTCACTGCAAAGCGTTCCACAGGTCTCTTGTTGGCCTCAATCAGTAAAGGGTCTACAGTTTTCATTATGACTGTAAGTTCCAAAGGAGGCACCCTCTTCTGCAATCAGAGATCATCGAATCTAATATACTATCAAAGGTAGAATTCAGTCTGGTTTTTGAGATGTTAAAATGTAAAAAAATGGCCAGCCACAATTTCAGGGTGTCATATATTGTAAGATAAATGCAGAATCCAGAGACGGTAAAATGTGAACAAAAAGTGTATCCGAGAACTTGTTAAACAGGTTAAGGCCTAAATAATTCAGTGTCAAGTTTCCCTTATGTTTTACTTATGGTGAAATAAGTCAATTGAACAATATTGAGATCAATAAAACAGGAAATTGGAAGATACCCAATAATCCTAAGAAGCAACATTTATCTAATGTCTACTATGTGTCAGCAACGGGCAGTGTTCATGCGGCTTTTTGCCCCCTGGCAAATAAACCACTTTTATCTCCATGTTAGAGATGAACAAACTGAGGTCCAGAGAGATCTTTTCTATTTAAAAATAATAATAAACGTCTCCAAGACCCCTGAGCTAGTAAATGGCAGGGCTAGGATTTAAGATCAGACACGGAGCCACTGTTCTCCAGGCCTCTGCTATCTGTCTACTCAGTACGAGTATCCACAGCCACTCACTGACCCATGACCCCTGAATCCGTAATGGACACACTCATTTTGCACGCTTGGGTCACAGAAAGCACAATTAACAGCCCATCAGTCTGTGGGTTTATGGAGCTCTGTGTTGCTTACGCTGTTTCAAAGATCAGTCCCTGGAGAGCGGATGGGTGCTTTGGCTAATCAGACATTTTTCTATTTTGCTTTTGTCTGCAATCTCAGTACTTTGAGTGTTGTTTTCTTATTTCTATCCGGTGACAGTGAAACAATCAAGTCCACAGAATATTTTGCTTTTTTCAAGTCGATCGTGGAAAAACAATCGCATGTAGCCTCTTGCCTGCATGCCTATCGCTGTAGGAATTGCTGCTCTGTTCCTTTTTTTCAAAACTTGTCCCTGATCATTCTATCCCTTTGTTTTTTGTTTTGTTTTATTTTGTTTTGATCTGTGTCAGGGCCAACATTTCAAACGCTGAATGCGGGGTGCCTGGGTAGCTCAGTTGGTTAAGCATCCTGTTCTTGGTTTCGGCTCAGGTCATGATCTCATGGTTCGTGGGTTCAAGCCCTGTGTCAGGCTGCGAGCTGACGGTGTGGAGCCTGCTTGGGATTCTCTGTCTCCCTCTCTCTGCCCCTCCCCTGCGCTCTCTCAAAATAAATAAATAAACACAAAAAATAAAATGCAGAATGCACCCAGTGTAGACAAAGGTGCTCTTGGTACACGCTGAGTGCTATGAGGGAGGTTGTTTTCACAGCAGGATGTCCTTACCAAAAGTGACAGGGGAGACTCAGAAACACAACGGTCACAAGGAACACAGAACCCACTGAACCAATGACCGGTGCAGAATGGGCTGAAGCCCCCAAACTGCTGAGGGCACGACAGCTTTGCTGGGAGCGTGGGCCAGACCCTCAGAGCCTTCGTGGTGAAATAAAACAGCACCCGTGACACAGGGTAGCTTTGACTTGAGACAATTCTGTCTCTACTGTTTGGCCGGTAACAACTCTCTCCAGGGACAGCAAAGCAGGCTGACTGGAGGACATCCCTGCTTTTTCCGGGAGTTTCCCTGCAGTTTTCACCTCCGTGCTCCCTGTAGCTAGCACTGCTCCGTACGATCAGGCAATGGAATAATTGCACCCTCTGAGACTTCATGTGTCAAGAGGAGGAAAATCAATTCTTATCACCCCAAGATCTATCACTCCAGGAGACTGCTAAAATCTGCCGGCTGCCCTGCGGTACCGGAGTCTTTAAGGTAATTTTTGCGAGAAAAAGGACACAAATTGGGAGTCACGTAGAGCCCCTTCTTTGAGAATCTATATGAGGGGCAGAGGGCAACTAAAATAAACCAAGGGAGGAATTTTCCTCTGTTCTATCTTTTCCAGCAGTATTTACTGAAGAAACAAAAGCAGAGCACACTCAAGTGCCTGCCTGATGCAGAAAAACCTGCATGTGCTGAATCCATTAGAAAAATGTTCAATAACAGTCTTCCTTGTGAAAATATTAGCCTTGTAGCGGTTCCAAGTTCAGCATCTCCACAGGTTACCTGTTACATAAGTGCCTGCGGCGGATGCGGGATGGCTGGGCAGAGGAGGACTCGTGGTTCTAAAGGGCCTCGATGCCTTCCACTTGGGGAGGAGTGCCCTCCGAAAGGCGCTGCTGGGCTGCCCTGCTCAGAGCCGTACTCCGGGTCATTAAAAAGGCCTCTCAGCTTGAAATAACAGCCTGAAGACTGATACTAGCGTGAGGCAAACGTCTGACGTGGCTCTTCTGCGAGGTCCCCGATTTCCGTATTTTCCTCTAGTCCAGTCCAGTAGGCCACAGCATCACCCAACCAGTCCCAGAAAGGACATGTGCGCTTCTTTGGTCCTGATGGCTTCACGATTACAAGAAACCCACTGCGAGAGGCGAACAGAGAAGCTGGCACACATAAGCAGCATTTCCCGACACAAAGAATGCCAGGGGCCCAATTATTTACTTAGAGTCTCAGAACAGCAATGCAATCCCTTCCTCCTTTTCTTTGGCAAGCTCTACCAAAAGCACAGGTAGCCTTTCCCCGGGGATGGAAAATTCCTTGCTAGGCTTTAGATAAGCCAATGAAATCAGGAACACGAAATGATTATTCAGACGGTTTGGGAATAAATTACATTCAGTTTTATACTGAAAATGATTTAGGAAGATCATCGGTGATTACATTCTTTTGGTCATTCGAAAATTCGATTCTCCCCTTTGCCAGTACAAGCCAGAAAAGGGCATCCTCAGCAATTGCTTAGGAACTGTGATGGCTGTTTGTGGAATACTGTGACTGGGGCTCGCCACGACAGGACACTGAGAAAATGGAGTAATTCTTTCAAAGACAGTAGCTTTGGCAAATTGTCAGCGTTCTTTCTGCTCTTTTCTTCATGTCGTAAATTTAGTACCAGGTACTGACTTCGATGACCTGTGTATCACCACGTGTTGTTAGACAGAATTGTAAGAAAGTCTTCCTCAGGTCAATGCCGCTGGGAATGGGCTATAGGAATTGCCTACACAGGCAGATGCAAAACAGAATCTGGTCCTGAAATCAGAGGGCCTGAGCTGAGGTGCACTCTTTGCTTACTAGGCACTGGAACAAGACAAGTGTAAGCCACTTAACTTTCTTCCTTGACTCTCACCTCCAGAATGGGTACAGACAACAGGATCCAACAGGGTTATTTTAAAGAATAAGCGAGATAATGTACACAAACTCCAAAGGCTTGGTGCCTGGCACATAGAGTGAACGTTACATATTAACATATACATATATGTTGTATATGTGTGTCACATACATGTTATACATGTCGTATTTATATATATGGGATATATACATACAAACACACACTCATACATACATATTTGTATATAATTTATATTCACTGAAGTTACCATGGTACAACATAAACTATCACCTAACATGGACTCGCACTAAAGAAAGACTGCAGTCATATTCTCCAAGGGTATTTTTTGAACTTGAGATTGTCATGCTCGGAAAAGCTTAATCTCTTGTTGACAATACCACAATTTACTGCCACCGGGATGGTTCATGAAGCCAAAGGGGATATGGTTATAGGCATGAGAAGCAATTTTCTTTGCCACAGACAAATATGATTAAATCTATTTTAATACAGTGCTGACTTTATTTATTTTTTTAAGGCTGAGATTGGCACTCTGTGGTTCCAATTTTTTAGAAAATATAATTTATACTTACTCCTCTCAAAGGGAGTTACTGATGATTTTTGTACTCCACACCCTGGATTGTGATCTGTGTACATCAACTACTCATACTGGGATTTCCTAAGGTAGAAACTGGTTGTAACTGCGACTGATCTAGTTAGTGTGTTTGCTCATCTTAGAGATTTACTTGATTAATATCTTACTGAAGATTTTCCTTTTAATGTTGGGTACGAGAAAATGTATCATTTTCCCTTTTGACGAAAGTTAAATGCATTTGTTGTAGGAAATTTGGAAAATACTGAAAAATACAAAAAAGAAGATAAAAGCCACTTGTAATTCCGCCTTGAGTGGTAACAGCTGTGAACATGTTGTGACACAGCTTGTTTTCTAATCTTATTATTTACGTCTCTTCTTCTTTCTCTAGAATTCAAAGTTGGTACCAAATTACAGGAATGGTTTTATAGCATATGTTTCAATATTTTATGATAAATGTTTTTTCCCATAAAATTCCATCATATGTATGTAGCTTCATTATTTATCCAATATCTTATTATGGAATATTTAGGTTGTTTAAAACATGTTTTTCATTTAAAAATATTACAATGAAGCGACTGCTTATAAATCTGATTATTAAAAATTCCTCATACCTGACCAAAGCAACCTGCGTAATGAATGAGGCTTGGAAAATCCTTAGAACAACTCAGTTCGGCAATGGCCTCGGTTTCACTCACCATCCAACGTACACACTCCAACTGACCGTTCTAGATTGACAAAAAGAAGAAAGAAATTCAAAGTAATTCAGGTTTGAAAAATACCTCATAGGGGCACCTGGGTGGCTCAGTCAGTTGGATGTCTGACTCCTGATTTTGGCTCAGATCATGATGTTACAGTTTGTGGGATCCGGCCCTGTGTCAGGCTCTGGTGGTGGCAGCTCAGAGCCTGCTTGGGATTCTCTCTCTCCCTCATTCTGTGTCTCTGTCTCTTTGCCCCTTCCCTGTTTGCTTGCACAGGTTCTCTCTCTCTCTGCCTCTCTCTCTCTCGAAAATAAAGAAAATAAACTAAAAAAAAAAAAAAAACTTCACGGGGCGCCTGCATAGCTCACTTGGTTAAGTGTCCAACTCTTGATTTTGACTCAGGACATGACCTCACACATCAGGTCCGAGCCCCACATCGGGTTCTGTGTTCACAGCACAGAGCCTGCTTGGGCTTCTCTCTCTGTCAACCTTTTTCTCTGCCTCTCCCCTGCTTATGTTCACTCTCTCTCTCTCTCTCTCTCTCTCTCTCTCTCAAAAACTAAACAAAACCTCACAGACAGTAATTTTGCCAAGGGAAAAAAATCACATGAATTTTGGTTCTTGTATTTGGCTTAATTTATTTGCAGTATAAGCATATCATGTATTATACTTCTGATCTGTGGTTCTGACTCAAAATCAGTTGGGGAATTTTTACGTAAATGCAGTTTCATAAACTTAATCAGTTGGTTTAAATCACTGTATTGAGGTATTCAATACTATAATACTATAAAACATACCCTACCGTGTTTTAAGCATGTGGTTTGATGAATTTCAACAGATACATACTCTCTTGTAACTACTGCTCCAATCAAGATATAGAACATCTCCAGCCCCCCCACTCCCCCCAGTCTCTAGGACTCCAGGGTCTCAGGTCCTCACCTTTGCCCTAGGCAACCACTGATAGGATTTTTATTTTATTATGAGCATTCATGCCTCTGAGAGTCCACCGTGCTGCTGCTTGTATGAAAAGTTTGTTCTTTTTTACTGCTGCCAAGTATTCCATTGTATGAATATACCAATATCCGTTTATTCATTAACTCTGAGAATAGGCTTTAACCCTTGAGAATTTGAAATGGCAGGATTCCAAAAGAAAGAAAGAAAATAATCCTATTATACTGGCTCCAATGCTACCTGCACTGAAGGCTTTGGGGACTCCGTCCCCAAAGCGCACTGGCTCTTTCCTCCAGTGCTGAGATCCCACACTGTGCAAACCAGGAAGGCAGCCGTGACATGTATAAGCTAGTCACGAGGATCCAGACTTTGGAATGGATTTAAATCCTGAATCCACTACTTAGTTACAAGACCTCCAACAAGTTGCTTCCCCTCTCTGATAGTCCGTTTTCTCCTCTGTGAAGTGGCAGGGATAGTAATAATGACCTCATACAGTTACTGGGAGCAGCAGATGAGACAGAGCATGTAAGAGTCCTTGGCACACAACACTTATTACCTCTTACTAGCAGCACGCTCTTTTAGATCCTCTATAACACCAGCGAGACGTTCAGCTGCCTTCCCGGTTTGCCCAGGGTGGGGCCTCAGACCAGGAGAAAAGAGCCACCGCGTCATGGGGTGTGGGAAGCATATTCTAAACATAAGATGCAGGAGGTAATCTCCTCATTATTCATCTACACTTATTTGCATATTGGAATTTCAAGTAGTCAACTCACAACTATTCGCAGGCAGAGACCATTCTTCCCCTGGGGGAACCTAGCAGGGCCAGGTGTGGGCCGAGTAGCTTCCAGGTGCCCCCACTGATCTGTCTCCTCCCTCTGCTGCCCTCCTTGCTGCCAGAGGAGGTTGGTCTGTATGGGCCGCCTCCCTTGCCCCCAGATTTGGCTGATGGAGAACGGTAGTGGGACACCACGAAAAGAGAGGGAGTTTGAGGTCCTGTCTGTTCCTGGCTTCCCCAACCCCTATGGGGTTGCCACTGGCTGCTGAGTCCCTCTACCAGTCAAAGGTCAAAAATCAGCCAGTTCCTTCCTTCAGGCCTGTCTTGCTGGCACCCCCGGCTCTCAGACGGTAACAGTGCTCCGCTCTTAGTCCAGGACACTGCACTTTTCTTCTTGGGCTCCCTATGCCCCACCCATCATCCTTTCGTGTATGGATCCTTCAATGCAGATGTTTTTCAAACCGCACGCTTTGAGCAAGCCAACTGTGCCCTACCAGGATGAATCAACACCCAACAAGCCACTGACACCATGCGTTCCGTTCCTTCTGAATGAACAGAGGAAGGAGAATAGTGGCGAGCATCTGCTAGGCAAGACCGTTCAGAGCAAGCAGCACGTATGCAGAACACGGGAGTATACGGCAACATTTCTGACTTTAACGATTTGAGTCTTGTCTCTTTTTGTCTTAGTCTAACTAAAAGCTTACTCATTTTTGAAAAAATCGTTTCATGGAACTAGAATTGGTTTTGTTGACTTTCTCTGTTGTTTTTTTTTTTTTTTTCCCC